CTAGATTTCATTTTTACGGTCCTGCTAAAAACATTTTAAAATCTTTTTGCTTTCAAATTCCTCCAGTATAATTTAAATATTGACATAGTTTACAGCATGCAATTCCACTGGTCTTAAGTCAGGGACTCTACTTAATTCTACAAGTTACATTGTTACTGCAAAGCAGTACTCAGACTAATAAGAGCTCCAAGTAATTCATGTGCATTTACATATCTACACAGAAATGGTAAACTTTAATTCTAAAGTTATGTTAAGCTATGACACAGAAAGTATCTCATTCCTTTCCATAAAATATCTAATTACTCATTTTGGTATTTGAATATGAAATTTCTATGTATTTAGTGCTTTCGTAGCTTCTTCCCACTTACAGGTTCATTTTACTAGATACTTCCTATTGGAAATGCTTCTGTTTCACTTCCCCGCCCCCCCCCCGCAAAAAAAGCCTCATTATATATAGCTCTTCCAGGCCCTTCCTCTTTCATTTGCCCTAGTTCCTTATACAATACACGGGTTTGGTTCAACCCCAGCTGTTATCATTTGGAAAGCACTGAGCCAAACATGATACGGAGGCACCTATATGTGGTTTAAAGAATTTAAATCCCCTTTCCTTTCCCAAAAGTGCTCATTATTTGAGCCATATTTTTCCTCATGCTCTTCCTGGTAGGAAGCTCCAGGAGCAGCAGCCTCCTTTTAGTCCCTCCTGTCACTGCTTCCCTCGACAATGACCTTCCCTCGTGGTGCAGCATAGAGGGGAGCCCGTTCCTGCCTGTGGTACTCACAGTAACAGATGTATTCCGTACCTCAGAAGGAGGCAGGACACAGAAGGAAGCAGGATAGGGAATATCATCGCCAACACTCATGACCAAAAACTAGACCGAGCAGCAGCTGCATCCCCGTACAGAGGCACTGCCATGAAGATGATGAAAGTCAACCAAAGAGCACTGCCAAACGAGCAAGGACACCGAGATGCTGTGACTGCTGGGAGCTGCTAGGGGCAGAAGGGAACGGGTGTTGCCTGCACTTAAGGAAGTTTTCCCAAGCCTTTTTTGACTAAATCATATTTATGTTAGCCCTCCTTCATCCCATATAACAACAGCCAACCAAATCCGCGAGAGTGAAAGGCGAGCCACTCGGTTCCCTCTGAGATTTACGCTGTATATCACTACGAGGGCTGCACAATGTAAGTTGGGAATTTTCTATACTGAATATTAATACCATAAACCCTGCTGGTTTACGGTTTATGATGCTATTTTTATTTCTAGAGTGCTCCTGGCTGCCACATTTTTGTTCCTTGTTATGTTAATCCAATCTTTTTATTGAAAAGGAATACATTCTTCACAAGCCTTTACAAACAAAAAATGAAAAAAAAGAGCTCTCTAACACTAAGCAGCAGAAGTAATGTTAATATTTGTGTTAGTTTGGTGTAAAGAGTTGTTTTTGAGACAACCCTGAAGAGGACACTTGCCCTGAAGAATCCCACCCCGAAGAAGCCGCTGGCAGCAGCTCGTGTAGCTACCAGGGGCTGGGAAGAGGGAAGGGTCTCGGGCACAAGGAGACCGTTGCTGGAGGCTGCCCTGCCTCCCTCTCCGCTTCCCTGTGCGTGGCAGCCTGCTGCTGGTGACAGATAGAGCCCAGTTCGGGCTGGGCCAGCCCGAGTGGGGTCTGGGTGCCTAGTGGTTCAGGTCAGCTGCTCTGCTCTTGGGGACAGTCTTGGGCTCCAAATAACTGGCAGCAGAATATTCTTCGTGGAGGTTTCTTGTGTCTGGAATTAATATCCTCCACTGAAGTGCTGTAACCTGAGTCTGCAGAAACTCACCACGTAGGGCCCGGGTGTTTAACTCAGACTTATTCTGAGGTAACTGTGGGGTCCTGCAAAGCCCGAGTGCCTTTCACAGAGCTGTTAGCATTTGGTCAGAAGGAAGTCTAATGTCTTCTAGACTTGTATAAGCAAATTTTTAACCTAATGCTTTGTTTGACTAGAAAGGAAAGCTGAATAGCTTGGAGACAGCCATATGATCAAAGTGCTTCATTTTTCAAAAGAAAAGAAAAAAAAAAAAAAAAAGCATGAGGGTAAAAATGTATTTTGTTAATTATTCGGTGTTTTAGCCTGTTAAATCAAAATATAAGTGCACATAGGACACTTCAAAATTTTCCTGCACACTCAAGCACTCAAGGAGACATGATCTGTGAAATGTTTAGTGCCAGCTTCCTAGACACAGTTCATGATCAGTACTCCCTCCTCTTCCTCAAGCTGATAACTATTTCAGATAAAACAAATCCTATCTACCTCCTTGAAGATTCTGAAGATGAGGTTTTCTTTCTCTGCAAACGCTACATCACTGCACCCTACAGAATATCCTGCTTACTGCTCCCTTCACGCCCCTGTGAGCATCCCCAGTACTCTGCTCTTTTTCTTCTCCCTCTCCATCTTATCTGTATAGAATCTTACCTGCAAAAATTATTCAATTCCCTGCCTTCAGGTTCCCGATCTAGAGATCCTCTTTGACTGTGGGTGTTCCCTTTTGAATTTTATTTGAACTTTGTAGAATTTTTACCTAAGCAATAACCCAATCCACAAAGTCTGGACTCGTGTAGACTCTCAGCATCTCACCGCTCAGTCACTGCAGTGAGTTGCTGCCCAGTAACCTTGCATGGCTATTCAAACAGGGCTGCAAAGGTGCTTTTTCCTGCCCAGGGTTTTCACCATGAAAGCTTACCCTTAGACCCTTTCCATCTGCTTCTTTCAGCTCCTTTCCCTCACTTACTAACTCTATCAAATATAACCTGTCTCTTCTTTTGGCAAGTTATTCATAGCCTATCTCCCCCATGTTTAAAATGTTGACTTTCACCTTTAGTGCTCAATGATGTAAGTCTCCATTTGCCTGTTCAATATAAATACCAACCTTGTGCTGTTTCCCCAGCTGCCTTTTATGCTGCGAGGGATCCTGGAAAACCCCCCCGGAGTTACTGTCACCCTGCCTTGCACTGCCCTTGAGAATTCTGCTTTGATGCAGCACCTACAAATGGTGTCCAAGTGGAGTGCCAAGACCACTGCCTCTCATGCTGGCTCTGCTGGTTCCTTCTCCTTGTGTTATTCACCAGCTCTTTCTTGCCCTAAACTTAACAGCAGGCTCTTTAGGGAGGCCATAGCCAGGGCTTCTACGGCCTATATTAAAGCAAGTATTACCAATGCCGATTGCAAACCCCACAACGGCTGTGGGTCTCTTTCCCTCCAATCCTCTGATACTTAACTCCCAAAAACAAGAATGAGATAAATATACTCATCTGCTCAGTAAGAAGGCAGACATTATGTATTCATACCCTTTACGCTAGTAAAATAATGATATTCGTTATGAAGTAATGAAGTACAATCCCAAAGTTGGAAAACACTTATGAAAGGTCTTATCTGAATAATAACTTTACTGGTACATTTGAATACTGGAACACACACACATGGTAGGTGGCTGTGCAAGGAGCAGAAGGCAGTTGACTTGACCATAGTTCCCCAGTGTCTACTTAACTACTGCTGAAGTGATTTGTTTTTCTACTTCGTAATTCCATCTCCTCCTGCTTGTTTGATGGCATAAAAATCAAGTAGTTATTGCAGTTTGCACAATTCATGTTACAGCCTTGTGCTCATATACCACAAATTCAACATTGTGAATTCATTTCTGGCTCTGATTGGAGAAAATAGCTTGGGACAACACAAGTCCCTCGATTAAAGCTTTAGGGCCAAATGAACAACAGCTGAGGATCCAGCCCATATGGCCTGAGGCCTTTAGCTGTGTAAAGGCTAGAGGAACAGACCCAAATAGCTTTAGTAATTAGCAAATATTGTACAAAACAGATGAGAAATCTTTGGCAGGGAACATGTATCAGGTAACATGTGAAAATTATTCAGAGTATGCTTCTTTAGAGATAAAAATATAGGGCATTAAAATAATTTTGGGGAGAGGGACAACTGCAATCTACCTGTGAAAGGGCTGCCAACAAGCAAGCAGGCTACCGGACCCATCAGTGTTTTACAGCAACCTTTCATAGCTGCAACGCGGGGAAGGGACGAGCACCCAACACCAGGGACCTGCTCTTCCAAGTTGTTCTGCCACTGCAGACACATCCTCCTGCCTGATGGGAGCTCCTCAGCTAAACTGCTTCCCGAGCAGTGTGCAGAGAGGCAGCATCCCTTGATAGGTGCCTTTGTGCATCCTGCATTTGGGACGACAGCCAGGGACTCCCGTGGAAGCAGGATTGAGCCTACTGCTGTCTAAAGGCACCGGTCACTGCACCGAGTACAACAGTAAGGAACAACACAGCAGTTATGCACCGTATTGCAGCCGTAACGGTTACTTTCACAGACAGGTGAGTCTCGGGTTTCAGCAGCAGGTAGCGTGGAATAAAACATTTTTCACCCCAACTCTGCAGAATGCCGTGTTATAAAAATGACTCCTGCTAAAAATCTAATGAAAATGTAGAAGATTTCAGTGAAGTCTCCCAGGTAGAGTACAGACCATGTTGAACCCTCAAGAGACAACGGTCAGGGATTTCAATGAGAACCAAGAGACGGTTTTCCCAGGGTGATCTTGTTGACCAGATATAAAGACGTGATATTGATTCGAAGGTTTGATCTCTTTCACTGTCTGCTTTATGAAGCCTATTTTCAATTCAATCATCTTCCATCAATTTATTTAAAGACTTTATTCATCAAAACCAAATAATTTGTTTAAAATAGATGGTGCTGAAGTGCTGAGGGAGTAAAATCCAACATGCAGTGTCACAACAGCAGAAGTGTGTACAGAGACTGTCTAATGTCATTGTACTTCAAAGTTTTTGAATAACATTAACAAAGTCATTCTCGTTCCCTTTTCAAGTTCCCCACAAGACTATGGGAACTGCTTTTTAAACATTTTGAATTCAGATATTTTTCAAGTAAATCATAACCTAGCCAGCTGAGGACAGATGTCAGTGTTAGTTATCATTTTAAGATGTTCATAATGATTTACCTGCTGGTGGCTTTATGAAAGGTGGTGGAATTAATGGGACAATAATCGGGACATTCCCATGATCCTTCGACCCTGCTGGTGAGTCTGAAAGTCCATTTCCCGTGGCAAGCCCTGGGTAGCTTGTGTTTATATTGTATGGAGAAATAACACTGTCCTCGGGTAATTTGGGTTTTGGCAAAGAATTCTCTGCAAAACACAAAGAACATATTGTACAGTATGACATAAATATTTCTTAAGATGTCCCTAAATATTTTCACCAATCTGTTCATTATTACCTACTCTAATATAACAGAGTGAAGGGTAAAAAAAAAAAAAGAAATACGAAAACAAAGAATAAATGTTCTTCCAAAATAAAGGGCTATTTTCCAGCATTTCTTCAGAAATATTTCTTTTGATCAAAATCACATTAAACACAACTATCCTTAAAAAAGGGGGAGGATTTCTTTGTCATACATGCCCTTGCTATGCCTGATTTAGTCAATAATACTATATTCCTATTCTTTACATCCATTGTTTTCATGATACTCACATACCATATACAATTTTGCCAACTAATGCAAGAAACGTAAAATGAAAATAAAATAACTCCTAACTAGCCAGCACCAATTTGGTAAGCAGTAGTAGTGGAGAGTATTTAAACAAAAGAAAACATTGAAATTGCATCAAAGTGTGTAAGGAACAATGATAATTATGATTCTATTTCTCTAACTCCAAACCACCTCAAGATTCCTACTGAGAGGAATTCTTTAGATGCACTTCTGTTAGCTAAGCAGCAGTCCTTAATTCCTATCCATTCTCTCTCCTCCTAAGTCAGAGAAAATGAAGACTATTTTCTCTTCTGCAGATTGCATACAGCAAATATTTCTACCTGGCACAGGTATTCAACATCCTGGTTTGGTCTATAAAACATACGACTTGTATCATGTATTTATAACATAATTACATAACAGATTTCATTAGGCATAGATTGCATCCACAAATCATGACTTATAAGATCTATTTATTAAAAGATAAATAAATGAATCACATCACAACATGAGAGCAAGTTTCTTCAGAGAGGACTTAAACATACTAGATTTTCAGTTTTAACATAGTTGAGTTGTTTCAGCTTGCCTCTAATTTTTTCACTTTCTATTAGCCACCACTTCTTCCAAACTGGGCTTTCCAGCATCACTACTCATTGCAACACTCACTGAATAAAGTGCAGCTGCTCACCACTGGAAAAGAAAAAATGCTCCTGGCCATAAACACACCAAAAAGCAGCAGTCCAAGAGTGTAAAAGCTTCTGTAATTTCCACTCTTTACCTCATCTTTGAGAAACTCTTGTTGGATAAGTCAAGATCCAGCAATTTCCTACTCTGTTGCTGTGAAGCAATGTTTCTTCTTAATCTGATCACAAGGCCCTGCCCACCTGCTGGCTGCAGCTTTAAAAGGCAGCGACTGAACTGCTGCAGAAAAAGACCGATCCCGTCATTTACATTTTGAATAATCACCCTACAGGAAGATCCAGTAATGTCCAAAACAAACTCCACCCCTTGAAAAATCTAAAGCACTTGCAGAAAACCAAAATATAATAAATATCGTTAAGGGAAGCTTTATAAATATTCATGACGATTCTTACATTCATTGTGAATGTTGCAGTTTAAAATGATCTGGTCTATTAAAAAGCTATAGGCCAAAAGTGTTCATTTTATAACCAGATAACCAGAAAGGTGCCTCAAAACCCAGCTGCTAAGCAAACACTCTCTTTTTCCAGGTGTGAGCAGCTTATTGGGACCATAGGTACATGACTTTGAACTGACTAACAAAGATGTTATCTGTGAAGAGCAATTTTGTTAAATGGCTTCCTTTGTGCTCTGTTGGCTTCTTCTCAGTAGAAGGCACTCTCAGATATTTTTATTTTTATTTAAATCAACCACAAAGTAAGCAGCAGCAGATGATTCCTACTCCCTCCAGTGCCAATTCAGGTAGGGTGGGATGTTAATCCTTCTTTTCGTGAACAAAGAAACATTAAGTAGTGTCATTACCTTTGAGAACAGAAATGTGCTGTCGGCTTTCCCCATCTGCAGAGTAGTTCCTGAATTCAATATCTTCTCCGTCTTTCAGTTCAACCTTGTCATAACCGTACCAGCCAAGGAGCTCATTCATAGTATTTTCTGCAAAGTTCTGAAAGAGAAAAATTACCTACTTATTTATGTAATCAATAACCATTTGGAATGAAGGCAGGACTGCATAAATCGAACTGTATCGCTGCCACACTAGGAGCTGCCTGGTTGGTCCCACCTCCTCAAAGACTAATGTTCGTTTCATAAGTCAAGTGTATAAAGTGCAATGCATTTAAATCTCAGACTGACACATGTAATTATGACAAAGACTCATACATCTGTAATTTAAAGAAAATAGAAAAGAGAGTTATTTATGACTTCTGCTCTGGCATTCTCTATCAGGAATATTTTAACATATATTTATCACAAAAAAAAAACCATCCTATGTTACCATAAGAAATATATTTAAGACTGCAGCAAGAAAATAATAGCAAATGAAGATTTTTTTCAGCTAGCAGTTAATCAGTCTTGGGCTGCTAAAGTCTTTTCAGATGGAGTAGGTCACTAGCACAATCCCCGTTTCTTGAGGTGCACACGAAACAAATCGGATAGAATTGCAGTGAAGATATTTTCCCTCAAAGTTACAAACCCTTGCACAGCTGAAGCCCTTAAAAAGCCCCGTACCATGAAAGCATTTTACCGTAGTGTTTCCTGTAAAAAGCATTCATATTTGTTTCAATGACCATTTCTCAGTTTTGCCATATTTCCTTCCGACACCATTTCCAGGCAGCAGTGTGGTTACATTTCTTTGCTTGCATGGAAATGCAAAACACAGAACATGACTGACATAAGTCTCATATGCTATTAAAAAGCATGTCCTCCAGGTCATGTGTCAAACATATTTCTGTCAAAAACGCTCATTACTGAGATTTAGCAGAATAACTTAAGGATTCTGCAGCCAGGCAACAAAGCGTTGTGAAACTGAATGGTGTCATGGAGCTGTGGCTTCGAGACTTGGGAACTAAGAATGAAACTGGCTAATGAATTATTGTCACTGGAAGAAATCATTTTAAAGTAGTAAGACAAATACAAAATGAAAAGAAAAAATGCCATGAACAATGCCTTTCAATTCGGTCTCTTCATTTTTTTATTACCACTCTTTTAAAACAAATCCTGAACTTCATTTTATTGTAAGATCTTGACATCTCTAAAATAATGATCTTGATAAGCTGTCTCCCGTGGCTCTGGATTCCAGCATAGGAATGAGGAAAATGTGATGCCAGTTCGAAACAAATAGCATACATCAAATTTACAGGTTGCTAGCTTCTGTCTAGTAACTGCAGCAGCTTAATTTTTGAGTGGGAGCAAGGATAATGACAGAACACGGCGCTTCTCAAGCCATTTAAGTAAATAAGTAAAATTCATCAGATCATAATTGCTTCAGAAGCCAAAGCTGCCACAGCCACTCTGCCCCAGAACGTTAGAGAGCAGCAGCCCTGCTCCCGGCTCATTCATCACGCCAGATTGCATAGGTGTTCCTGTCAGTCAGCGAGGCTTGTAAAGCAACTATAAGCAATAAACACAAGCAATTTATACTCTTCCAAGAGTATCAGCAGCGCCACTGTGCTACAAACACACGCAAAAAGCAAAACAAGCAAAACAAGGCCAGACCTGCGGAGCATCAATTTCCCTCTGGTTTTCCCCCTTTCTCTTGACCTCCTGCTGGAAGACGGACTCAGGGCTGCCCTGGGCAGCACTGGCAGCAGCCCCGCTTCACATCCATGCCTAGCGTCAGCGCGGCAAGTGCGGCAGCCAGGTACAGCCGAACCACGTCACGCTACTACAGCTTGAAGCAAAGCACCACGCAACGTGGCTAGTATCTATACTATTGAAATATATTTGAATTCACATTTTAATAGACACACTTTTGTGACTGTTTTGAATATCAGGTTTGGATTGTCGTCGTCGTTTGTTTTTCACCTTACAGAAGACTTTTCCCTCAGTGCTGAAACCCCAAGCTCCATAGCCCCAGCTGCAACCCATGTGAATCCAGCAGTGGGAAGGTCTGGAGCCGGGAAGCGAAACTCCACCAGGGCAGATTATCCAGATCAAAGCATCTGACCTGAAGGGGAGGGACCACATTGACTCAAAGGGGAGCTCTGCTGACTTCCCTGGGTCTGCTAAATTTCAGCTAGGGAGACATAGCTCTGGAGATCAATCTCACAAGGTGGAGTCCAGTCAATGGAGGCTGCCTGACTTGAACCTCACGCAACCCCATTAATTGGGCAGCTCTAAACTTGCATCCTGTGGATGCTTTGTGCTTTATTTCTGTCATTGATCAACTTAGGCAATGAGTAACTTCTCATTAGTTGCCATGAAATACGTAAGCTAGGCTTTATATCTTTTTTCTTTCCTACAGAGACATACATGTTTATGTAGCTTAGTATCCAACCTCAGAATACAGTCAGCAAGGTAGCTGAGTTCATAATGGCACAAGCTCTGAATACCTTTCAAGGCTCATTTTACTGTCCACAAGCAGCATACAAAAACAAGCAGTTGGAATGACAAAAAGACAATGAGTTTGGAAATTACTCATAATAGAGACCTGTTTTACCAAAGCAAATAAACAAAATCCTTACACTAACTTCAATGAGAGTAGAATGACGCCACATATTATGGTTAAAAAAATAAAAAGTAAATATCTTTTTGTCATTAATAAGGATGCTTGGAATAAAAAATAATGAAATAAAATATTCTCCTTCCTCTTTTGTCTTTCCTATTACAATGATGGTAGTGACTCTTAATACTGTTCTGTCAGTGGCTAAAGGCCAGTGCTCCATTGCAGAGCACACTGGCCATGCCAGAACCCAAAGGGCGATCCCATCCTTAGCAAGCTGATAGTCAAAGTCAGGAGATGTCATTGTCATCCGCACCACTTCTCACGCACATGAAAAGCATCCACATGAAGAGCATCCAAAAAACCAAAGTTATCCTCCTTCAGATCCCTGATTAAAGCACCATTTTGCAGCGCTGCCTAGCTGTGAGTCTAAGCTGTGTCACACAGGTCGTCTGCTCAAGCTCCTGGCCCCATGCTCACCAACGTTATTGCATAGTTTCCTAATAATTCTTTCTTTTTGACATTTCACTGTTAGCTCCAGCCTGAGTGGATTTCATGATAGAGTAACATGATGGGTTTGTAAAGAGCAGTGTGGTGTCAACAGCCAAAACACAAATAATAAGACAACTTTTCTTGTGGATGAGAAAAGAAAAGTTTGGCTCTTGATGAAGCTACAGGAAAAGAAGTGGGATGATGAATACACAGCCTGTATGCGCAGAGCAGCATCTTGGTGCAAGACATGCTACATTCAAAGCCTTGGCTGAAAGGAAAGGTGACAGTTGTAATTACAGTGCTTGAAGAAAGCAAGAACACAAGACCTGACGCTGAAGCAGGAGAGCAGAAGATGAAGTAGCTCAGAGAGGAACTATGTGAACTGAGAGGTGATGGAGCTGACAATGCCAAAGGAGAACCAAACATGAAGATGAGCACAGTGTGGAGGCTGGGAATGCGTTGTAATTCCAAGCTCTTGCAGGAACGGGACAGCAAAGGCATGAACGAAGCCACTTCAAGCTTTGTTTCAGACTCAGCGCCAATGGCCAACACCCCTACCAGGCCTAAAACGCTCAGCATCGCACAGACAAGAGCCACACACTTCTGCTCACGGCAGGAACCAACACAGCAGACGAGCACAGAGCCCAGGTCCTGCCCTTTCGTACCCAACCCACCGCAGCGCCCGGCCGCCTGGCACCACACAAACGGCCACCTTCCCGGGGCTTTGGTAGCTGCTTGGTGGAGATATCAATCCCAGCTGCAACTGCAGGTCCAGAGGCACTCAGTTATCACACCAGGGACGCCCGGAGCCCCGTCTCCCACAGCACTTCCGCCAACAGTGCAACTGTGCAGCCGTGCTCTACGGCAGCTCTGCGGCTGCCAGGGAATTGGCCACAGTTGCAACAGAGTTAGCTCATCTTCGCCAGAGAAACTGGCCTGAAAATGCTCCAGTGACCCCACGTACATAAAATCCCCAAAGTCCTCAGTTCCTAATGGACAGAAATTGTTTCTTTTCGGGCCTTGCTAAGTCCCAAACTGCTTATAACCACTGTGGGACAAGGTGCAATTTGCATGTTTTAATTATGTTTTAATCATAGATTTCTCTATTCTTGCACTACACAGAAATATCCTCCCTCCAGGAAGAGACAGGAATATAACTAACCAGCTATTACAGTCACTGATAGTTTGACTTGAAATCGCTTCTTCTTCACAGGAAAAAAAAAATTAAAAAGTTGTTTTGCCGGACTGTGGTTTCTTTCCTTTATGAGACCATACATGCTAGGCAGGAAAAAAATAATATTTATTCCCCTTTCAATATTAATTTCACAGTAACAATACACCTATGGGTTGATTTTTACATTTCAATGCATCATTTTCTCAAATTTTCACTAATTAATGTGCTTCGAAGCTAAATCACGCTTCTCTTTCCATTTTATACCTCTTTCCTTTCCTTCTCTATGAACCTCATTCACAGGGGGCAAGGCCTGGCTTCACAGAATGAGGCCTGGCAAACACGGAGGCAGGAAACGTGAAAAAAGAATGAGTCTGTCAGACTCATTTTCTCCTAGGCTTTACTGCTGAATGTTTTTTTCAGATTTTGAAGGAAGTACAGTGGCTCCATTCCATTTCCTTGCACGCAGAAATTGGGTGCATAACCCCTCAAATTCACTTTTTCCCTCTACTGCACACAGGAAATAAAAATATTTTATTGTTGATTTTATTTTAATGCAACCCTCACATTCTTTGCTTACTTATGTGATGCTGTCACTATATCGGATTTTGGAATGCTTTTGCCATCAAAAAGCAAATGTTCTTATTTCTTTAATTTCATTTGTCAAATGAAATACACCTTTGCTTCTGTGAGTGACTTAGCCACTTAGTTTGAATAAGCATTTATATAATGCACAAGTAGGTGAGGCTGCCTGTGCAGATAATGCAGCTCCCTTTTGCAGCTGTACCACAAACCTACTTTCCTGCAGACTCTGAAAAAAACTAAAAGACCTTCAGTATCCTGGTATCCTGAAATAGCACAATTGATAAAGTCTGTCTGCTTTTTCACTTTTACAAACACATTTTTCTGCTTTTCAGGAGAGCAGGGAGGAGTTTCCTTGAAATCTTTCTAACGCTCGCAATGCTCTGGCTCATTCCAAGTGCAGCGCTGCTCTGCCGGCTTCGCTGCTTTCCCAATTTTGACAGTGGTACTTTTAAATGCCAAGTAGGGAATATTAAAACACTAAACTGAATGTTCTTCGGGTGAATTTACTATTAAGCTATAACAGATGGAGCTGTCTTAAGCTCTAAGCATCAGGAATGAAGCCCAACTTTAGATACAAATTAGTTATTGAGAGTATTTATAGATGGTAAACTCCTTTGGCACATAGAACAGCCCTGTGAAATTATAGCACAAATTAATTGCTAGCTTTCATCTGAGACTCCAAACATGTAGATATATTGTCTTATTCTTTTTTTCCTCTAAGAGAATTTTCAGTAAAATATATTTGATGCCACTTCTTAAACGTATTTCAGCATATTTCACAAAATGGCAAAGCACCTGGTTTCCAGTGCTGAGTTGCACTGCTGTCTGGCAGTAGGTTGGCATATGGAAACTAGCTGAGGAGGGATGGATGTGAAATGGATGTGAAATGGATGTGAAAGTCATCACCACGTGTTTTGTAAGAGCCTCCTTCAATTGAATTGTAAACGTTAGGTTGGTTTTAACATAGTACCAGGTTCCCTGATTACACTAATTTGGGGTGTACTAGGTATTCTGTTATACACCAAAAAGTGAGAAATTATACTACTTACTTTGAGAATAACTACCTGCTGTTCTTCCAAAGTGTGAGATGAACAACGTCACCTCTGAAAGTAACTGGAAGACACAAACTGAAGGAGGAAAGGGGGAAAAGTGCAAAAATAATAATAATAAAAAAGAGAAACTGTGAAGTTCACAGCGAAACAAAACAATTCCTCCTGAATGTATTTTCATTGAAATGTAATATTGAAAAACTGCACGGAGTCATGTACTTTTGCACACAATGTTGTATCAAATTAAAATTTGTTATAACCATCATGTACCTTGGGTTAATGATAACAAAAATGTAACTTAATATCTGGTACAATGAAACAGCAAGCAATATGAATTTCCAGTCAGGTTAAAACTGAGCTGAAGCACTACAGTTGTAACACACCAAAACCAAGCAGCTCAGGTTCTGTGATTGTTCTTAAGTAAATATCTGACTATATCAAACAACAAATCTTGAAGGAGGTCTCCGTGATGAGGTAATTTTATTGCTCATTCAGAGTGCCTTGCATTTGCTGTACTTAAAATAGACACTTGTACCAATGGCCTTTTTATTACCCGAAGGAAAAAAAAAAATCACATATACACCAGTCCTTTTTCTTTCTGCTAGCAAAGGGAAGCAATTCAATCCAACGTGGGCTGAAACCTGAGTAGGTCACTGTACACCATGATAAAATTCCCTAATCCCTGAGCCAAATTTCCCTGAGGGGGCCCTCCTACTTCTCCTTCACTTTCCAAGCTGACTTTTCCATTCCCTCTCTCGTCTTTTCCTCCCCTTCATCTCTTTCATTTCCCCTACCTTAAAGCCTTGATATCTGATCTGCTGCTGATACTCGGGTTACAGTTTTTACAGCTTAGGCTGTCTATTGCTGTATACATTCCTTTCTTTCTGCTCTGCCGTGATTACTTACCAGAGCTTATTTTACACTGGTCCAGATGAAAGCAGTTCAGATGAAGGGAAACTGCCAGGCTGTTTGAACATTACAGATATGGACCTACACAAGGGCACATTGTGTTCACTATGTCGTTTTGTTGCAAACATTTTAAACAATGTAACCAATTTGTTACATTCCTGTATTCCTCAGTCCATACGAAGAACAACTAAACATCTTAATTGATTAGTAAATAAAAAGAGTGAAGGATCTTCGGAGGTTTTTAACTTTCTCAACAAACTGAAATTTCAAACTTCTTTTTTCCTCCCTTCCTTTCCTCCAAGTCAACTGTCCTACTAAAAACGCAGTCTCCAGGCACAGCATAATAGCACAGCTTACATTGTAGAGTGCCCTGTGTTTTGTGAAAGGTTCTGCCACCAGGTATCTCACTCCTGACATGAAAACATACCAGTCCAAAACGCCATTCCTATCTGCCCACAGCCTTTAACAACTAAGTCAGTCAAAATCTTGAGGCTTGTAACATTAAGCAGCTACAAATGATTAAAAAAGAGACACTCTCTACGTGAAGGTTAATGCCAGTGCTTAATACCAAAGCATTAGTTTAAAATTGTGCAATTTTTCTCCTTCACACAATGTTGTTTTTGTTTCTTCCTCACCCTTTCAGACAAACATCTGTTCTACTGTAGAAGAACAACTATCTCCCAAACCGCTGAGTGTGCCTGCAGCCAAAGTAAACAAAACAAACCCAGAGGATCCAGCACAGTCAGCCTTTATATCCAGCCAGGATAACATTTCGCATGTTTTGATTAAAATTAGCTAATTTGTAATTCTAGAACCTATGAAACTTAAAAGCTGCAATCCACACAGATCACATTAAGCAATGTTCTAGGGGGGCAGTGCCCTATGCTACAGATCTTTGCAGTCCTCAAAACTCTGCGAGGCTACAACAAGCAAGTGCTGCCGTTAAGCGGTGCCCGTACGGAGCCCCGTCCAAAAGCAGAACGTGTCCCACACCTCACAACGAATAATAAGGCTCTTTGGGATAGTTTGTTTCCAAAGAGGTGCCCTGACACACGAGGCAGCAGCACGTTATTTTGCTCATTCCGTTAGCACCAGCCGTGCCCACATTTCCCATTCTGACGGGCACGGAGCTGCTTCCAGAGTCACTGCCCAGGCAGCGCCTGCCTGGAGCACCAAGGACACCTATGTGGAGCTGGCCATGTGTACAAGAGGCCGAGCGGGAGGAGACGGGGCATTCCGGCGTAATTTTGCAAGGGAGAGCAGTGCTCCCGAAAGCGAGGATACTTCCAATGCACATAATGCATATTTACATACTCGCCTCTATGCCGTGCAAATGTGACATTTTCTAGGCAGTTCTCCGCTTATGTTTTTTTTTTTTTTTTTAAATAAATGACATTTAAAGTAAATGACAGCGGCTTTATCATATAAATAAGCCATAGCGGTTTAATTAGTTCATATGCACATTAAACAACAACAACAAGTTCCGCCGAAGTCGCACAATGGGCTGCTCACAACTTCGGGGAACGAGCGATGCAACACAAACAGACGCGGAAGGGACGCGCAAAACGGGCGCAAAAGACGAAACGGGAGCACGGAGACCGGAGCAGCAACTGGGCGACACAAGCAGCCCCGAAATACGTGTCCGTGCAACCGCCACCACGGCAACATCTGGCGCGGCCGCCACGGGCGCTCCCTCGGGCGCGCGGCCGGCCGGGGCCGCGCTCGCTGCGAGGCACGGCAGCCCCGGCGCCGGCGACGAGACTCGAGCCGTGCCCGGGCGGGCACCTTTCGCCAGCACCGCTGCGCCTTCGGTTAGCGGCGCGGGGAAGCGCGCGGAGCCGCCGCGGCCAGCAGCCGGGGACAGGCACGGGGACACGGAGAGGGAAGGAGCCCCGCGCTCAAGCGCCGGAATGACGGGCGGCTCGCACCACAACGTTGCCCTCTGACAATTTAATGGCACGGCTCGCTGCTGAAAAGGGAGAGAAATGCGGGCTCTAGAAAAAGATCCCTTTCTTGCCTAACTTCCAAGCCGCCTGAGGGGGTTGTTATAAAATATATATATATATGCTCATCGCTGGCACGCAGGGAGCTTAACAACCCATTGAGGGAGAGGGTTTTTTTTTAAATAAAACAAAATAAATAAATAAATCAAAGCTGGTCAATGAACAGGATTTGCAGCCTGTGAATTCGTCTCTGTTTTCAGCCCAGGAGGCGGAGTTGAGACACATTCAGTGCATCCTACAAAAAAAAAAAGATGACAAGAGATCCTTTCTTATTCCATTTCCATGCGTGGCGGCGGGGGGGCGGGAGAGACCCCCCCCCCCCGGCTCCCGTCCCCCCGCGGCGGGCACCTACCTTCATCTCCTCGTTGATCTCCCGCTTCACCGGGTGCGCAGGCTTCCTGCTCCGCTTATTTTCGGGAGGTCTCCCTTCTTTCTCCATTTCTGCCATTTTTTGCGCCTACTTGCCGGAGATGAAATGGCTGCTG